CTCGACATCCTGTACCACAGCCCAGCTCTGCAGGGAAAAGCACCGAATACCCCTAGCAGAATGGCTTACTTCTTTCCGGGAAAATCCTGCTCCTTCCTCTCCAGAATTCAAGTTCATTCTTTTAGTAGGTGTTTCCCAAGTGCTGTCCTTAAATATAGATTGAGAAGACAATCTTCTACTGTTAAAGAATCACTTGCTTCTACAGTTTAATCTCTCACACTTTCAGCTGATGTTGGCAGGAAAACTGGCTCCTGGGGCTTTGACAGGAAGAGGCAGATTGCTGTTTATAGACCCCTTTGCCTTTTCAATGTTAATTTACCCAATAGTTGAGTTCTGATAATTGACATCACCAGTGTTGACTCAGCAGCTTTAGTCTGGCTCATAGGCCACCTGCAAACTTGGATTTTAAATAAAAAACAAACCCCTTTACTACTGCTGCCTGATATAATATTTCAGGAGACCTTTTACCTGTCATATCATTTAAAGGCTCAGTACTGGTTCAGAGATTTGGAAATATACCTGAACCTCAAATCTTCAATTCTAAAATATTACCTTAAAGCACCAAAAAGGGGGGTAAATCCCACCACCGCCCTGGCTATTGTCACTTTTGCCTTTAGTAAGTCTTTAACCTTAAACCTAATTTTGGAAAATTTTTTGATTTTTTTTTTTTGCTTTGCCCCTCCACACCCAACTAATTTGAGCACATAAACCCTAGTTCTTCTTATTTAATCCTTATGGAGACATAGTAAATCATTCTTTTAACCACACTATACATTGAGAAAAATTACATTTTGGGACTATCAAAAATCCATAACTGAAGCCAGAAGATACTGCAATACCAAGTTCCAAATTTCTCTTGGGGTGGGAGAATTAAACGTAACCACTAATTCTGGGGGCTTTTTCCAACATCAAATTCAGAACTAGAGCTATTCTCTCATCCTATGGTTTGGCTACTTATTTACTATGACACTGAACCACAGCTACAGTGTAGCTGTGGCCTAACCTGATCAAGAGTTAATCTTCATTTTTATACATCCAGACAAGAAGCAAATGGATGGAAAAGCTGAGTTCAGTATTACACAACCAGAAACCTTCTTTGACCATACAGCAGATTTCACTAAAAAGATACAAGTTTACTATATAAAAACCTGCTGTTTCCACGTAAAGTTCATTTTTGAAAACAAGACTCAGACTTGTTTTTACTTCCTTTGTTTCTATTTTAGTCAGGCATCTTAGACACATTATTGTTTATCACAGTGTAGCATCTGAGTGGAAATTCTCAGCAATCAATGCCTCTAGGCATATATTCATAGTGAGAAAGGACAGTCATTGCCTCCTATTTATAAAGTCAGAGATGGATCCCCTGTCAGAACCCTCAACTTCAAACATTTGACTGCTACGGTATCTAATCGCTTTATGGGGCGCTGTGATGAGATCTCCTCCAACAACGACTGAGAAAAAACAAAAGGCTACAAAAAGTTACTGCTCAATCAGGTGTAAATCAACTCTTGCAAGTTAAACACATAACCACACACTCCAGTCTAGACAGACTCTGGAGGAAAACTAATGGGCTATACATAAAATGTACACCAGGAAAAAGCTACATGGTGACACCGCTGAAAACTTCATCGGACAGGCAGGCTTTGTGCTACTTGGATGACACAAGACAACCATTAACTAGTCCTAAGCAGCCAGTTAAGTCAGGCTTGTGACTTTTCTGCACAGTGATGACCTGATGATAAGTACCAGGGACTGGGGAAACACAGGGAGAAGACACACACTTAACAGATTATTCTCTACAACTCTATAGCCCTGGACAAACCCCTCAGCATTTACTTATAGTAGATGCCCAAGGAGTAGGCCTTCAGTGGAATTATACCAAATGACCTCAAAGCAGAATCTGTAAGATTCAACTAGGATTAAGAATTTTTTTTTCTTGCACCCCAGTAAACTGTTTTGTACAGAACTTGTGTTAAGCCAGAAGTATTACATTCCATGCTCAGAATAAGCATATGCCTTCTTTTTCCCCCCAGTCCAGTATTGTGGCAAAAAGAGCAATACACTATAGAAAAATTGAATTTTTTTAGGTTGGAAAAGACCCTTAAGATCATTGAATGCAACCATTAACCTAACACTAGCAAGTCCACCACTAAACTGTGTCTGTAAGCACCACATCTACACACCATGAGAATGCTGACTTCATATAAAATCCTTACATTCAGCTCACACCTCTCAGAATCAACTGCCTGCTCTAAACCAATTTATCCTAAGACAAGAATCTCGGAATGGCTTGGTTTGGAAGGGACCTTAAAGATCATCTAGTTCCAACCCCCCATTGACAGGTACCCCTTGCATGAGATCAGGTTACTCAGAGTCTCCAACCTGACCCTGAACACTTCCAGGGATGAGGCATCCATAACTTCTCTGGCAATCTGTTTCAGTACCTCTCCACCCTCACAGCAAAGAATTTCTTCCCAGTATCAAATCTAGACCTACCCTCTTTCAGTTTAAAGCCATTCCCCCTTACCCTGTCACTACATGCCCTGTGAGAAGTCCCTTTCCAGCTCTCTTGTAGGCCCCCTTTAGGTACTGGCAGACTGCTGTAAGGTCTCCCCAGAGCCATCTCTGGCTAAGCAAAATAAAGCCTTTCACTTTTCTTTTAATGATGCTATTGATTTACGAATATGTCTCTTACAGCCATATTCAGGAAATACAAACCAAACAGGACATCATAGAAGATTAATACAGAACTTATTAGTTAAAATGTGAAATGTCAGTATTTGTAGCCCAGTCTTCAGAAAAACTGAGCTTTTGCTGCTGCTGAAGTCACTGGAAGTGATGTATTCACATCACTCCTAAACTAAAAATAAAATCACACTATGAGTTTCTAAAATATTTCAAGATCTTTGGATATGTATTACATAAATGAAGCTAATTATTAAAATATTCACCATTTTTAAATATGCAAAACACCTGCAAATAAGTCTTTAGATCTTCTTTGCATCAAAAGAGAGAATGGGATTTGCTTTCCTCAGTAATGAGGAGAAAAGTGATGTTCAAAAAGAGAGTAGCAGCCACCTGCTAGAGTCATTACAATTACACAGTTGTTAATTACGTGGTACTGACAAATTATTCTGAAGAGCTTCAGGGCTTACAGTTGTGCAAAACAGGTTGAGAGGTTTAAGACAGGAGTGAAACCAAACCTCAAGTTTTTCTGCACCTTCTGAAGCTTTTTTTTTTTAAGCGGAATCAAGTCTAAATTTTGCTTGTTAATATGCAGGAGAAATGTGCATAAAAACAAGTAACTCTGAAAGCAGTACGCAAGCTAAGAGACTTCCCAACAAACAAAGAGCAGGGAAAAAAAACCCAGCTGGCAGCAGCTCTGATCTTCTAAGTTCTATGGCAGCAAAATTTCCTGCTTCCTTTCCCTGTAATGTCTGACTACATATTTCTGTTACAGACTGCTTTCAGTCACGGTTCAGACACTGATTGCAACAAACTAAGTGCTGTCTGGCTTGTGGTACGGATTCCATCTGCTTTGTACCATCAGGATAAAGTTAAGGTAGCAAAACAATCACTCATTTGCAGAAATTGTATACAGTCACCTGTTAAGTAATGTATGTCTACATGTAAGACCAGACACTACTGATTAATGGTAGAACACCATTCTTCCTTATAACCCCTCCCTAGGACCAGCAGCACTGAAAAAGTACAGCTGGAGCAGCAGAGGACAAGCTCTGTGTCAAAGTACATTCTGAAATGCCATCTATTCTCCCTCACTGGTCCAACAATGTTTTAGGGTGAAGTGAAACAGGAGGGTCTCAGTGCACAGTGCACCCTGGTATTAGAAAGAACTGCAGAAGCAGTTTTATAAATAACAGCCAAAACAAAACCCAACAACCCGCAAAGAGCAAACAGCAGTTCTTTACACAAATCAGTAGACGTGGGTTTAGCCTGTAGCATAAATCCTAAACTGTAATTTATAGAAGAAAATAGGCTTTTTTTATCTTTTCCTCAGCAATTCACCACCAGAGAGAACACAGAGCATCTTGAAGTTCTCTTAATGTCTCAGGTAAATTGTCATGCAGAAATTTTAGATCCACTAGCATAGGAATACATTTCATTTGGAGTGCTTGTACAACAGTGGACTGCAGCAATTGTGGTAAAGTCCTAGTGTGCAAATCCTGAAGAGACATGAATATTTCATATCAAAAACTCTTGTGATGTAACTAACAAATCAGCACATCATTTTGGCATTTGCTGCTTGCAAGGAGATGGATCGATACCCCTCTATGACCATATATCATAAGTACTTACAGTAAGGTTAACTAACAAGAAACAGAGCTCTGTATCTTGCTGAAGATTACTGTATGCACCTTTAGTTATCTCAGTGGCAGATAACAAGGAGATGAAGGATTAATATGTCATAGACAACTTCTTCAAAACAGATTGAAGGGGAGAGTCCAGCCAACTTGATTTCTGTGCTTTTGCTTGGTAGTTGCTTTCAAGGTAGAAGACCGTGGAAAATTCTTGTATTTAGCAATTATTTTGTAAGTTTTTTGAGTGGTAATATCTGTTATTAAAACTAATTTCTTTATTATTAAGCCTCAAACAAGATAGATCAAGCATCACTAACAGTCAAAATTATTTTAACTACATTTACAGTAAGTGAAAGTGGTTTTTTTTCCTTTTATTTTGTATCAAAAGTCAAGGATTACAAATTGTATTAACGAGCAGACACAGCAGCTAGATTTTTTTTTTTTCCTTTCTAGACCTCACCTGTTAAGTGGAAAATCCCAAGTATGTGTACTAGAGCATGCACTTACAATAAATGTGGTTTGAGGTTACTTAGGCATGTCTGTTTGCATTAGGGTCATACCTGGAAACCGAAAGCTGGATTTTGTTGGGCCTTGCACTGCAGGCAGCAGGCTGTCAGAGACAGAGAAAGCTTGCACAAAGTTAACCAGCAGGTCAGAGGCAGCAGGAAGCTCATAACTCACCTGTATCACATCACAGCTTCTCTCTGCTGGATATCATGGCCTTCCACCATTCGTCCACACAGAGGTCAAGTTAACTGTGAGCATTTAATCCAGCCAGCCAAGAGCATCAGCCTTCAGGAGAGTGGTCAAGGCAGCAGTACTGTCGATTAGGACAAGATCATCTGTAATATGTTAACAGTTGCCTGCACCAAAGTCTTAATATTTCCCCCCCAGTTTTTCTGTCTGGAGTTCACTACAGTCCTGATGACACATTTGATGCACCTCTTCTGACCGTAACAAATGAAGATTCAAAGTAAGATTCTTGGTATCTTCGATTAATTTAAGGGGAGCAGGAAACAGAAGAGGGGCAGAAAGACCAAGATTATGAGTTTTGATTTTAAGTTACATCATAGAGAAAATTCCTGTACCTAGAATGAGATTTACATGAAACACAGCACTTTGATTCTATTTATAGTTTGTTCTGACACTTTCCCCGCACCACAAAAATATGACATAAACATAAACACATTGACAGAAAGACCAGATTTACCCCTAGACAGAAACATTTGTTCTCTGAAGGAACAATCACCACAGTATCCATGCCATTCCAGTCCTCCCCGGCTCAGGCCAATTGCCGCCCACAGCCACCGCAGCCGCACCTCCCACACGGCAGCGGGCGGGAGCAGGGAGCCTGGACAGGAGGAACGGGGCTTGCCGGTGTGGGCAGGGGCATGTGCTGAACAAACTCCCATGCAGTGAGGATATAAAAGACAGCAAAGACTTACCCAGTGTGTCCTTTCTGGCTACGGCCACTGCAGCAGGGCAGCTCCACCGCCGGCCTCCACCGCCACAGCAGGGCTGGTGCCCCCTCAGGGCGCCTTGCCCAGCACGGAGGGAGAGCCGGGCTCCTTCGCCTCGCAGGTACTTTCCCAGCCCTCAGCTCCCTCACAGCACACCCTGTCCCGAGGCTCCCCCTCAGAGGGGCAGTACGAGGGGCTCTCCCGGCCCGGGGCTGATCCCACAGCCTCCCAGGGCGGCACCGCTCCGCACAGGACCTGCCCCGGGGCCGCCCCACGCCAGACTGAGCTCTCCAGCAGCCCCCGCTCGTTTTTCACCCCAAGCACAGGTGTAGCCAATCTCAAGTCACCCCCACACTCATTAACCCTCACTAGCAACAGGCTTTGTATTGGTTTTTTATTTATCTGTGCATCATCCACGCAGGCAGATATGGCATTTCCCTCAGTCCTGGTTTACAACTGGAGAAATACGGTCTGCCCGAAGCCTTCCCGTTTCACCTCTGTGATGATTCTGTAGATGACCGTGCAGCTACCAGAGTTTTATGATTTTTTAGACCATACCTGTTTCCTCAGCATCCTCTTTTCTGTGACTGAAACCCCTGTGTCTGCCCACTCATCTGTTACAGCTTTAAAAACATTTAGAAAGAATACAGGGAAAAACACAAACTTGGCAGAGGTTCAAGAATACAGCTTAAGAAGCAACATATTTGGACACTAAATACTAGGAAATCAATGTAAGAGTAATCAAGTATCACAAAGGCAAGTATCTAGTGGAAGAAAAAAATAGTAAAACATGTTATATAGAGAAAACAGGCATCGTTGGCTACAGCAAGAGGAAAAGCCCCACAAAATTTAATAAGTACATAAAGCATATATGTTTCAAAAATGTTAAATCTCAGTTAATAATAATCATTCACTGAATGTCAACTTTAAGTTCATTATTAATTATATTCCCGTTCTGATTCCTCCTGAAAAATGCCAAAATGAGAAATCTGCACAGGAAAGAGAACAGAAAAGGCAGAAAGGTGACATTAGAAGTGAAGAGGAGGAAGAGGAACAAGAGCAGAAACGGAAAAGGAAAGAGAAGTAGGAACAAATAGAAAAAGTGAAGGCAGATCTGGAAAAGGAACAACAGAGGAGATGGAAGAGATGTGGTTAGTGAAGATAATGTTCTCATTTGAGAAGGAAATACTTGAATGGAATCATGACAGAACTATTGTAGTCTTTGCTTTTCTTTTGCAGGCCATGCACATGCATCCAAACCTATCAATGTTCCAGCATGAAGAAACATAGATAACAACAAAGCATCTTCCAATATAACAGAAGACTAACAACACAGCGTGTGAAGGAGCCAGCAAACTGATCCAGCACTGCCAAGGCAAAATCTAAACTAAAGTATAACATCACAGATCTTTTAATCTGAAATAGGTGCATAGCAGCATACTAGATTTTTCCTAAGTTTAGTATTGTGTGTATGTCTACTAACTTAACTTCATTTTTTCTAATACTTTCATCTAAATTCTGATTTTTCCAAGTGTCTGTCAATATGAAAAAAATCAGTATCAACAGTGATTCAAAGTCATTAAACAAATTCAGGTTTTCAACCAATTGTACCTAGCTTACAGTGAGTTCATGAAGATGATATTCCCCACTTTTCATAAAGCACTACATTCCTTACTGAGCATTTTCCCTGACAAAAACCTCAGCATGGTTATAACTACATGGTTATAAAGATCTCATAACAATGTAGATTATCCCTTAACTATACAAGCATTTGATAATACAAGAAAAAAAAAACAAAACATTAATAGCACTTTTGCTCTTTACTACTGCTGATATAGCTTTAGGGGGGAAAAAAACCCAAAACAAACCCCACAAAAAACCCTCCCACCAAATACTTGAGGCAAAGCTCCGGGAAACCTGTAAGTATATAGCACCAGAAACAAGCTCTGGTGCAATATAATTATCACATTTCTCTTCACCCTTTGAAATGCTCTGCTTACACAAAACAATAAATTTGACACCATCTCATTGCTTCGCTTCCATGTGATAATTTTTCATTGGAGCGGCATTTCCCGGGGAGAACAGCGACCTCCTCGGGTGGTCTCGAGGAGCTGCAGCCTACCTAGAAATGGCTGAACAGGCTGTGGAACACACCCAGGAAAACAGGCATCCCTAAGAACCTGATTAGTAGAAGTAGCATGTTTTAAGCAGATGGTTGAAAAGACATGACAAATCTGACTTATAAAACATTTTTCGAAATTAGTGCCGTGCCCTGCTTAACCTTCTTTCAGGAAAAGCAAATAGGCATTTAAATCAAACTGCTGGACTGAGAACACCAACATGCTTGGAAAACATCCTGAACATCATTCAGCAAAGCAGATGACCTTTTTTTTTTTTATTTTTTTTCTTAACTTCCTATTCACAAAATAGGGAGAATATTCCTTTGCTTCATGAACCTCCTTTTTGTTTATTCTCTTTACTCTCAGTGGAACCCTCTTGCAAAAATAGCCCATTTTACTGCCATTCTGTTTACATCTAAATCTCAGCCAAGGCATTCCACTGCCTCCTTGTTTGTTGTATAGCCTGGCTTCTCGTTCGGGGTTTGTGCTCTTGTTACACAAATATGCATTCCAATTTTTTCTCCCAGCTCCTACTCTCTGAACTTTCCTATCTGTTCCAGTGCTCTCCTCTATCCCTTGCCTCCACATCTTTGTTTCATGTAAGCCATGTACCTGTATCCGTATTTCTTATGTCCTTCTCAAAGGCACATATGTGAAAGATATAATTCAGGCTTTAGCCCCCTTACAGATAGCATGAAAGAAAGTAGACAATATTTTTCTTTAATATTTATTTGCAGAACCAACCAGACATATGCTAAATATCACTAAGCAGCACCCATTCTCTCTTTATTCTCAGTTCTCTCCCCTTCACTTTGGCAATCTGCTTAGCTCCTTGGGCCAGCATCTGCTCTTCTGGCAAGAATGCTCAGCAAACCCAAGGTTGCTATAGCAATTAATAATCATTTACGTTTTAGTTTACAGAAACAGAAACTAGAAGAAGAGTGGAGGTGCCATGAGGAGGAGGTGGCAGCAAAGAAGTCATAATTAGAGAAAACAGCACAAGAACATATTTGGCAGCAGCGGGATTATCACAGGAAGCTTCTGCAGTTCCAGAAGAAGCAACAGTTAGAGGAACATGGAGCAGCAGATGGTCTATAGAAAGGCTAATGCCTACTTTAGTTGCAGATAATTCTTCAGCATGGATGATTTCTGGTAAAGACATAGACAGCCTGCGTGTGTCTGCCTTGAGATTCACGTGACACTAAGTCCCACACTTACAGTACCTCGGCTGCTCCTCAGTTAAACAGGTATGGTAACAATAGTCCTCTCTGCCACAGTCCCTGCAGCCTGAAAAAAGGAGAAATTCCACAGCCTAGCTATGATGCAACCCTGAAGATGCTAGCAATAACAATGTTTGTGCTACATCTCATCATTTCGTGATGCTTCCATTACATCTCTTCTCTGAAAACCCAACTCCCAGTATACACACAGTTAAAAAAAGATATTCTATTTCTAACAAATAGTTGCAGAGAAACTTGAAACTTCTTGAAAACCTAGGTGCCAAGCAGATCTTAAAAAAATCCAATTACAATTTAAGAAAAAGTCATGTGAAACAATAGTAAATACTTGAAATGTCAATACTATAACAGTATTTTATTTTTATCTGAAACTGATGAAAAAATAGAGAGTATGTAAGCAGCTAAGAGTTGTTTGTGGTGTTTCTAAGAGGCACAAAAATGCAGAAAGAAAGAGCAATGTAGTTAGAGGAGGAATGCCAGCACCTGGGAGACATGGCAATAGAACACCTGGAATATGAAGGAAAAAACTGAGAAAAGACAAGACATAAGGCTGAGGAGAAAATGAAGATGCTAGACCAGCTCTAGAGGAAGTCAAAACACAAGCACAGCTTTTAATCAGGTATGTAGCTAATAATACAAGTTAACTTTCTTTCCTCAGTAATAATAACACATCTTTACACCTCGTGCCAGCCTGTACAAAAATACTCCTGCAGTCAGGAGTTCTATCGGTGTAGTTACCATTGCAGAGCAGCATCAGTCCCTCAGGAGTTAGTTAAGCTGCCTTCAGTTCCAGCTCCAAGACACAATGCAGTTCTTCTGCTATTTAACCAGTTTTTCAATATTTCCCCAAATTCCATCAGCAATTCACATACATCTGTATTCTTTAACTATTTTAGAGTTTATAGCATCCATCTACATTAGAGAAAGAAGCCCAACAAGATTTCCTGCCCACCTGTAATTATGATTACCTTCACACGATCCACGGGTGCAGACTCCATAGTATGCTTCCAGAACTCATTCCTACCAGCACCTAGGAACACAGGAACTGGGAGGCTGCATAGCACATATTAAAACATTGGAAATAGCATAACAGGCCTTCTTAATGGAAACCTAAATCAGTTTGTGAGCCACAGAGTGCTACCAGGGATAAAAGGCCAAGTAATAACTACAGCTGAGAAGCAATTACTACCTCCTGCTTGCTCTGCTCGTGCTGTTGTGACAGAAGGACATACTGGCCCACAAGAAGGTATTTACATAAGCCAACATTTTCTTCCCCAGCCGATTCCAAACCTTGCTCAAAGCCAACTCCCAGGGGAAGCCCAGGCTCCTGCCAAGGCTCAGAAGGCACCGTATGCACTGTGGCAAAGCCAAAGAAACTGCCAGTGCACAGCAATGAGCTGTGTAGGTGTCATCAAACCAATACACCAGCTTTCTAACAGCAGGAGGAATTCTGTCCTGTGTCCACAATTCTCTTTATTAACACTGTTTGCAGGCAAAGAACAAATCTGGAACCACCTCTGCAGTTCCAAGAAGCATGATTAATGGAAGCTATCAGACTTCTTCCTCATCCACAGGTGTTTGTTCATGTTCACCTGCCTAAAAAGGGTAGACCTGAAAACAGTATAAAAGAGTAAATAAATGCCTGGTGCTAGGAATGGGCCATTGCATCGAGCTCTTTCAATTGCAGTCAAATTCAACGATCCAACCTGGCTCAAGAGAGGAATAATGTTCCTTTTTGGCACAAGAGTTACTCAATCACAAATTTATTTTCCTAGACTGCAGCACTAGTCTATGTATACATCCCACTGATAGGAAGTAAAAGGACTTGTGTTTGATCAGCCAGTAGAAATTAATCCAGGCAGACCTCCTGAAGTGCCAGAATACAGATTCTTTGGTCTATTTTGTGTTAGAGATGAAACAATGAAATAACCAGGTTACAAAAAGGTAGGAAGACCTCAGTGCTGACTTCTGGGGGAATCCTCCAAAACAATAAATTGCAATAAATGTACAACTGTAAGAAAAGGCTAATTGTGGGTTCAGCAATAAAATTACTACAGAGAAACTGTAGCAAAGTAAGAACTTTTCTTCCTTAAAAATCAGGTTATTGTCATTTTTTGGTTCTCCAATATTATCTAACAAAGTGTTACATTTATAGATTCAATTTATATTGCAGTTCCTGTAGTTAACTCTTCCTGGGGAAAAGAGTAATCAATTTTTTCAGTCTCTAAACTGAGGCTGAACTTCATTAGGTATGCAGTAACTACTAGTTCTAAGGGCAAAACAAAACCCATTTATACCACTTCCAGCTTGCCCAATTCCTACAGGTCTCTGTATAGTGCCTCAAAAGCTGATCTTCTCATTTAAGAAAATTTACCTGAACAGTAAGAATTTAAATGTGCATACAGAAGATGTACAGCACAGGTCAACATAGATAGTTTAATACTGTATCCTTAAATATAATTTCCATTTAAATTAGGAAAAGCTAAAAACTAGTAAACAACTGTAGTGTTTCTAAAACAATACATGGCTAGTCAAAATTTGTGGCAGAATTCAAGTTTTAGCATTATCTGACACATTAACTGAAGTCCAAATCCTGCCAACCTTTATGCATTTGGCTTCAAAAAAACCTCATTGTCAAATTGATGATCATGTAGACATATTTATACTTAAAAGAACACACAAATCCTTTAAACACAGCAGCTTTAAGAAAATCTGCTAAAACTGATAGTTTTGTGATGTGCTTATCAATAAAGCTTTTATACATAAACATAATGACTATTAAATATATTCTCACAATTCAAAATAAAGCAAGTATTAGCTCTCAGCTTCTATTGCATAGCTGTGTCAGTGAAGATGGTTTTATTTCCCCAACACATTCTTTAAAGCCCTTAAAAGCAACCTTCTTCTAATATACGGGTAAGCAAAAAAAAAATTGCAGGAGGAAAGACGACTTTCCTTTTTTTCTCCAGCATATGAAAACCAACCTTACTTTCAGTCATATCCTCCAAAGCTGCAAGTGTTTTAAACCTTCCACTCCAGATCAGCTTTTCAGAAAGAAGTTCATTGAAAAGGATTAGTTCCTCCAGAGAAATCAAGAAAATTCAAGTCTAACTCCTTGACTTCAAAATTCAGGGTTTATTTCAATGTGTAATTTCCAGGAATTAGTTCTTTAAAAAGGGTACCAGTGCCTCTGTGTAGCGCACGTGTCTTCTCATTTTACACTGAGTTCTCAATACTCATCTTTGAGGCAGAGTACAGTTTTCCCATTATTACTCTTCTATCAAGTTCTAACAGCAAAGGCTTGGCTTTAGACCAGCAGCTCTGCTGAGGCTCTTTGAGGCTTCACAACAAGTCTGAGAAAGAGGTCAAATCAGTTTATAGAGTGGATATGGTACCAGTGA